GATGAACACTGGAGATCAACAGAAATCCTCCGGAATCCTATCTAGAATCCTGCCGAATCCCTCGGAATCCTTCGGAACCCTTCGGGGTCCCTAGGGATCCTTTGGAATCCCTGAGGGATCCCTCGGGAATCTTTCGGAGCATTCTTAAGAGTCTTTAGGAAACATAGGGACAACAAAGAATCTCCCTGAATGTTTCGGAATCAATAAGTATCCCAACGGATGCTTAGGGATGCTTAGGGCTCATCGAATATCCAAGCGAATCCGCAGGAGTCCATAAGAATCCTTCGGGATCCTTCGGATTCCTGATGAGTCGTGAGGAATCCTCGGGATCCTTAGGCACACTTTGGAATCTTAGAGAATCCTAGAGAATCATTAAACATCCTCCAGAATCCTCCGGAACCTGGGGAATCCTGAAGGATCCATCAGATTCCTGCTGAGTCCTGAGGAATCACCGGGGTCCTTCGGAACACTCTGGAATTCGCAAGAATCCTAAAGAACCCTTAGCAATATTTCAAGAATCCTCTAGAGAGTCCTTGGGGATCTGGGGAATCAGAAAGAATCCTTCGGGATCCTTTGGAAACCTTCTGGGAATCCATAGGAATCATCCAGAATCCGTTGGAATCTTAAGAATCCTAAGGAGTCCTTAAGAATCCTTCGGAATCACTCGGTTTAGAAATCCTTATGAGAATCCGCAGGAATCCGCAGATACCCTTAGGATCCTAAGCAATCCCGAGGAATCCTTCGGAACCCTGAGGAATCCGTCGGAAACTTTAGACAGCCTCAGGAATCCTTAGGGTTCCGTGGGGTTCTTTTGGGATCTTCAGGAAGTCTTGGGATCCTTAGGGCTCCATCGGGATCCTTAAGAATCGCTAAGAACCCAAAACAATCTGGAGGAATCCTCCGGATTCCCACGATTCCTCAAGAATCCCAAAAATATCAGATGGAACCATTGGTAATCCTTGAATATTGAGGAACTCAGAAGAATCTGGAGGAACCCTTCGGGATCTCGAGGGATCCCGATGAACCCTGAGGAATCCCGAGGCATCTTTTGGAATCCTGAGGAATCCACATGAATCCTTCGAAACCCTGAGGGATCCGTGGGAACCCTTACGGCCCCGCAGGAATCCATAATTAGGAATCCGTCGGAATCCTGGGGGGAACCTTAGGCATGTTTCTGAATTCTTGGGAATCCGTAGAATCCTTCTAGGATCTTTAGGAAGCCTTAGGAGCCCCCAGGCCACCCTTGGAATCCATTGGTAACCCTCCGAAGCCTTAAGAATCCTTAGGAACCATTAGAAATCGCTTGGGTTCCTAAGGAACCCTCAGGAATCCTCTGGAATCCTTAGGAATCCCTCGGAACCCCAAGGATTCCGGAAGATTCCTTAATAAACGTTGGGAATCCGTAGCAATCCCTCGGAATCCTTCGGAATCCCTCGGGTGTCCTTAGGGAATTCATGTGAACCCTTAGGAGGCCATCGGAATCCTTAGGAACCCGTAGGAATCCTCACGAACCTTCAGGAATCCAGGGGGGTCCGTAGAACCCTCAAGAATCCATCGGAATCCACTGGAACCCATAGGACCCCCGAGGCATCCGGAGGAATCCATCGGAATCCATAGGAACCCTTTATGCATCCCTAGGAAGCCTTATCCGTAGGAATCCATAAGAAAAGTTGAAAATCCTTCGGAATCCCAAGGAAGCCCTGGGAACCCATCGGGATCCTCAAGAATCCATGAGAATCCTAAGGAATCCATGGGAACACATAGGAATACAGAGGAATCCGGAGGAATCCTTAGGAATCGATCGGAATCCATGGTAATCCCTCGGACTCCTCAGGAATCCTTCCTTGAGAACCCATGAGGATCCGATGAACCCCTCGGAATCCTTAGGAATCCTTGGAACCCCTTGGGGCTCTTTAGGGATCCGTACGAATCTCTAGGGAACCATCCGAATCCATAGCGATCCCAAAGAATCCCTCGAAAATCTGTACGAGTATGAATCCAACAAATCCTTAGGAACCCGTAGGAAGCCATCAACATCTTTAGGAATTATAAGAAATCCATTGGAACTCTGAGGGATCCACAGGAATCCCGAGGAACCCGTAATAATCCTTCAAAGCACACCGAATCCTTAGGATTACTTGCGAATCCATTGGAATCCCGAAGAACCCTGATCAACCCCTTAGAATTCGGAATCCTCAGGAATCCTTCGGAATCCATCGGAATCCCTAGGACCCCCAGTGAATCCTTAGGAACCCATCGGGATCCCGAAGAGTTCCTAGGAATACTTGGGAATCCTTCGGGGCCCATAAGGGATCCTTAGGATTCCTCACAAATCCTTAGGAACACATCTGAATACTGACGGAGTGTCCCGAGGGAACCCATGGGAATTTGTTTGGGATCCATAGGAATCCCCAGGAACACTTACGAATCCACAGGACTCCGTACGAATCCTTAGGTATCTTGAGAATTCCTAAAGAATCCTCAAGACCCCGTAGGAATCTTGAGGAATCCCTGGGAAACCATCGGGACCTCGAGAAATCCACCGGAAGCCTTCGGATTCCTAAGGATC